CCTTTCAAAGCCAAAAATCCTATGTGGCCTATTGATATCCTTAGAACTCACATCAGCACTTAATGTGTTATACTGGTACTAAATTTTTACCACCTATATGTCGACTTTGCCAAATACTATTGAATAATGCAGGGTTCGACAACATATTTAAACATATTTTAAGAGTTAAATTTCCTGTTAATTTTTTCATCCTTATTACTATATTTACAACAAAGTTGAAAGTAATTTTAGCATAGCTTGATGCAGATAGGTTGTGAACAACCCAATGGGTGATTTTCAAAAAAGAAATAGAGAACCAATAATATTCGCCTCTAAAAAAGTGTATATAGAATAATTTTACTTTTATCAAGAGCGGGAAATGTCGTCAAATGTGTTCCAAAGGTTCAAACACTGAATTTTAGAGTGGCATCAAGTTTTTCCACGCACTGTCCTTACAACGCGGCACTGCATTTACCATAGGAAAAATTACCCCTATTGTCTGGTTCCTACAGCGAGAAATACAGTGTTAGTCCAGTTAAATAGCCGAAACTGAGACAAAAGTGATAACATAGCCACAAAGTTATTTCCGCTGGCGTAATGGTGTAATAAAGGATTGCGAATATTGTTGTATGAATTTGGTTTTCCAGAAACCAGCCGTTTTTTGTAAATCAGCGAAAAACCCGAAAAACCTCTTTTTCGCTGAAACGGCTGAGGATATCTGGGATTTTTACACGTACATTTTTCTAATTTTTGGGCCATCAATAAAGGTCTCTACAAATTTTTCGCTAAATTGTGGGCGAGGGGGTTTGCGGGGACAGAGGCGGCGTACCTGCATACCACCAAGCTGCCGCCACACCGCCAACGCGTTGACGACGCAGACGATCACTTACTATATGGTAGGGGTTATTCAGTAATAGTAGAGTTGAATTTCGAACCCTGAGCTCGCTTGTCAGTTTGGCGTTCACCGACTTTTACGAAAGAACTAATTTTCGAAGTTTATGCGTTTAAGTATGTGGAGTAATTTCTCTTCAATTGCTTGTCGATTGACTGGATAAGTGAGGTAAGTATGTGTACATTGTAGAATTGAAATTGAATATTTTTTCCGGAATTTCATTTGAGACAAGGAATTAAGGACAAAGCCAACCTAAAATTCGAAAAGTTATCCGCCATGGATTTTTTAACGACATTTGTTTTCATTTTCCAATGTTAGTATAGTATTTTTTAATAATAAGTAGTGCAGTCCAAATTCAGTATATTATGTTGGCCAAAATTCAGCATGTCTTGAAATTCCATTAGCACTATGTTCTGATATTAATAACAAAAATCAGACAAATTAGACTGACTGGATCGAAAATTGCATTACACTTACTGGATACCGATTCTCACTGAAATTGTTTCTGTTATTCAATAGGAATAAAATGCAGCAAAATAGTAACTGCGCCATTTGCAGTTATCCGTTGGCGCGCGGCAATTGCAGGATCGTGGGGAAGAAGGGAATTAGTACACTGATCACACAGAGCAAACGCGTGGAAGACAAAAAATGGTTGGATTGGGAAAAAAAGGAAAAACTGGACTGCCACGAGAAGTGTAGACTTTCATACTCGGTCAGTGGAACGTATACTCAGCATTTTGCGTTGAATGCACCAAATAACAATGTCGTAGCTGCAAGGGATGAGGTTCCTGATTTCCATTACGCGGATAATTGCTTCATTTGTGGTTTGAGTATAATAAAAGATGCGAAAACAAAAATCTGTACAGTCACACAAAAAGAGACGCGTGATAACTTGATTGCAATGGGAAAGGAAAGAAATGACTCTTTGGGAATTAGCGTTGTTGAAAGATTAGAGAACATTTCTTGCTTAATTCGCGTACAAGGCAGATACCACCGGACATGCATGTCTCATTTCAATGCGTATGGTTTAAAAAAAAATATCGATGATCTAAACTGGTCTAGAATCGATTCATTGTTAGAACCTGTGTGGCAAGTTCTTGAAGAAGACAAAAATGTTATTCATTATTTGTCGAAGTTAGTAGAACTTGTGGATGATGACTCTATAGATAGAAGGACTGTAGCAGATCACATTAAAAAACGTTACGGTGAGGAAGTTGAGTGCAGTATAATGGGGGGAAAAGATATACGTGTATGCTTCAAAAGTCATCATGTTTTTAATGTGTCAGCAGACCCATCAACTTTCACAGAAGGGCAGATACAAGTTATTTTGCTTCAGGCCTCAAATATAATACACAGAGAGATTCGTAGCAAGCAATTTGTAAGCGACACCGTCCAATCAATTTGTGAGCGATCTTTCCTCCGATTATCCACCCCACTTTTCGTTCTTTATTGAGAACTTTCTCCTTATCGCTGACGAAGAGGAAGATAAAAAAGCAAAGTCTGTGAAGCGAGACATGATATCTCAATGCATACTTTCATTCAGGCACGTACGTTTTTGTCCACCCTCCACTTGTCGATTGGGACATTGATTCTGAGAAAAACAGGTTCCAAGTACATCATAAATCTTCTGCATGCATTAGGCGTTTGCACTTCTTACTACAATATTGAATTGTATGAGGCTTCAACAATAGTGAATCCACCCAGATTGATCATCGAAAAACCTTTCGTACAATTTGTATTTGATAATAGTGACCACAACGTCAGGACCCTGGACGGACGGGAGACTTTCCATTGTTTAGGCGGAATACAGGTTTACACTCCGGAGCACGAAATCACACAATGTGGAAGTGTCGAAAAACTTACTGAGATGCCTTCCGCAAATATCCTTGCAAAGCAAGAACAAATTCCAATCTTCCCTTACGTCGAGCCGCCAAAAGAGGGCTTGAAACTTATAGAATTCATCGATACAAATTTACTGACCATATTCGACATGCCTCTATTCCCCCCTACTTACTCAACTTATTTGTGGGCTGAATACGTTGGTCCTGAGAATGTACCAGCATGGCGAGGTTTCATGGAGATATGTTCGGAAAATGAAAGTTTCCAAAGGTCGGGGGTGCAATGCCAACAATTCATTAACGAAGTTCCATCTAGTCTAACAACCATTTATACATCAATTATGCATGCAAAGAGCGAAACCCGTAATTGTGGTCAAAAAACCACTATCTTAACTTACGACTTTTGTTGTACATGAAATGTCGCGATATTATAGCCAAGTTAATGTTGCCCGACGTTTTTGTTCGCTTAGGCGGATTCCACATGTTAATGTCTTTTTTGGGAGCAATAGTTATTATGATGGGAGGAAGCGGACTTGAATCTATGTGGGAGCTTGCTTACGCTAGTGAATCCATAAAGAAAATGATGGACGGGCACAATTATTCAAGAGCAGTCCAAGCACACATTTTGACGTTTACAGCTTTAGGCATCGTAATTTGTGATTCAATCGAAGAAAAAGGCGAGATCAAAGGGGTTATCGCATCATTGATACGTGTCTGGCAGAAAAATCCTCTCAAGCTAGGGGACAGTGACTCTGATAAAGACCTGAAGAAAATGTCTGATTTGTTTTATACAAAGTTGAAGCAATTGAAAAATAACGGCCCAACAGCCAAGTTGTGGGTGCAGTACATTGCCGTGCTTATTGTCTTGCGTTTTATTGAAGCAGAACGTCTTGGAAACTGGGACCTTCATCTTGATTGCGTTCGAAGAATGTTGCCATTGTTTCATGCCGCGGGACATTTTCAATATGCAAAAGCAGCTCAGATTTATTTGCAGGATATGGTACTTCTACAGGACATCATGGATCCTCAGGAGTTTCACCAGTTTGCCACGCAGGGTTATTTCACTATCCACAGGTCGGATAAGGCTTGGTCCGGAATCTGGAGTGACATGACAATCGAGCAGACATTGAATAGGTTTTTTGGGACTGACTTGAAACACGGAAGAGGTGTTACGCGGAGTGTCGTGTCTCGATATTTCCTGGGGATGCCTTGCGCCGTGCATGTGATGCAAGCATTGGAAGAGTATTGTAACCTGGAGACGAGAAACAGTGAGCAGCATGTTGATTTGGGCAAAGGACGAAAAGCATGGGACGCAAAGGACATTGCCTCATTCGTTACTTGGTTGAAGGGGCATGAACCATTCAAAGTCCGCGAGGAATTAATTTCGCTGTCAACTGGAGTTGTTGGTGGTGTGGAAATAAATTGTCATATGGCTTTCGAGCGTGGCACACAAGCAATGGGTCATATAGTTGGACGCACTTATGAAAAGGTGTCGCTGTCAAAATTGTACAAGATCAAGAATTTGGACTTTGCACGGACACAATCTCAAAAAGCTGTCTTCCACTGTCACTGTTGATACCTCTCTATTATTTCAACGTCTGTCTGTGGCTATGCGTGGAAGGAAAGAGTTGAGTAAATCTTGCTTCGACTACGAAATGTCTCCTGTTCCACTTAGTTTGTTCGACGAGAAAGGATCAATGCGAAAGACCGACAAGCCACAGTTATATAAAATGTTCACTACTACCCTATCCTCACGAGCATTTTTTGAAGATTCTCAGTTTGTTGTAGACGGAGGATGGTTGCTTCACAGCCTCGTCTGGCCTCATAGTAAGACATACCGTGCAATCTTTGATATGTACAAGAACTTTCTTGTTCAGCGGTTTGGTCGGAGCGTCATTATTGTTTTCGACGGATATGAAGATGAACATATAGGTGTCAAATCATACGAGCGAGACCGTAGACAAGAAAGAAATTGTGGCGTGGACGTTGAAATTGAACCAGACAATCTCGTCCCATTGAACCAAAGGACATTTTTGTCCAACGTGAAAAACAAGGCTCAATTTGTTTATCACCTTGGTCAAACTCTTGCAACATATGAGGGATTCAGTTTTACCATGATCCATGCGAAAGAGGATGCGGATGTTGAGATTATGAGAACAGCTCTGAAGACTCATAACGAATTGTTGCATCACGGGAAATCACGAGTTATAGTCGTCGGCTCGGATGTTGATCTCTTAATATTACTTATTTGACTCACTCCAACCTCAGAGAGCATGTACTATTATTACAACATGGGCCAGGGGGGCAAGGCGAACCAATTGTACGATACTCGGGATCACAAACATTTGCAACCATTTCTACTTTTTGCTCATGCCTTTGCGGGCTGCGACACTACTAGCTGCTTTTTTGGGAAAGGGAAGATGAAGCTGGTGAAGTTGCTGCCGCAGAACGACAGCATTAGAGCGCTGGCGCTGAAGTTTTACGAGCCGGACTGCTTGGAAGACGAATTGCTGCAATGTGCAGAGACGATTACTCTCGCACTATACAAAGAACAGTATTCTTCTCTCGGGACTTTCAGATACAATTTGTTTCCTACAAACTTAGCAACGGCAAAAAAGGAAACGCCCCTAAAATGTCTCCCACCAACATCTCCTGCCTTGCTTCAGCACTGTAAACGAGTGTACTATCAAATCCAGGTGTGGCTTCAGCATAGATTAGATCCCTGCTTGTGGGGATGGACAAGACAGGCTAATATTCTCATTCCGATCATGTCTGAAGCAGATCCCGCACCAAAAGAACTGTTACAAGAGGTATGTGTGAAATGTATTCAATTTGAAGCAATAAATACAACTTGCTACAACTAATTTTTACTACTCTTTTGATCTCATGTACTGTCTGACCGGAATTAAAATAATTTTTGAACAATGTGAGATCCAATTTCAAGTAAAAATAACAAATTTTTAGACTGATCTATGGAGCACTATAAAAGGCCTGTCATTGATTTCCCTTACAAGACAACTGATATTTAGATTATAATAATTCTTATGATAACCTTTTTTCAGGTTTCCTGTGGATGCCAAGGGCCCTGCAAATCGAAGCGATGTAACTGCCGAAAAGCCGGTCTAAAGTGCAACCCTGCTTGCAAAGTATGCCGCAGAAAATCGTGCAACAACTCAAAGAGATGGACTGCTACAGAACACCATGATAGCGAAACTCCGACTACTACAGATGCATGTGAGGAGGACGGTGGACAAACTACCGTAGAACTCGATAATGATGACTTAACAGAAGATGATGAGACCTCATCAAGCAGCCACGATGCAACGACCGATGACGAGGAAATTAACGAAGGACTTTAATGACTTTGACCTTCAATGATTTATCCTACTTGTAACAGATTGGGGTGGATATAACATTGAACTGTATATACTTTCAATTCCTCTTAAATGCTATTGTAGGTTTCATTGGCTCAAGTGAGGGTTTTTGTACAACTATATGTGTGAAATGTAAAGTAACAAATGTAAAACAAACATATTTGAACACAAAAATAATTTGTTATACTCTATCAAAATAGAAAATATAAAAAATTGATGCAACTTCCAATTAATGGTTTGTACATAATTTCTTATCTCGATTAAAATATAATGGAGTAATGTTTTTGCAGAGAAGATATCGTCAAATACTCATCACCATCGGCCATTGTCTATTCTTTACATATTTGCGTTGGCGTAGGTCAGACCAACGTATAGACGCGGCTCAAAAACTGCTAAATCTCTTATCATGATCGTAGATTAACAACTACCGGTGATCAAACTGATTTGCGAGGATAACTATGAAACTAACGTGGAGCCTCGAAAGCGAGTCTTTTGATGACTCATTGGGCTTCTACATCCTGTAATGTATTCTTATCATTCCCACTCATTTATATACACGTTCACACCTTTTTTGCAGCTGTAGGTTTTTTATTGTTGTTCCAATTCTAAATGAAAATATTATACCTCTCTTATCCAGTCAATCGGTAAGCGGCTGAAGAAAAATTACTGCATCTTGTACTCTAAACGCAGAAATTTCAAAAATTCATTAATATGCATAAGTCGGTGAACGCCACAACTACAAACGAGCTTATTATTCGAAATCGACTGGCCTATCACTGAGAGAGAGACACTGAGGACGTCGAAATAAAAGAGGATCGTTCCGCTTCAATGGTGCGGCGTCTGGCGACATGTGTACGCGCGTCCCTTTCCCCGCAAACCCCCTCGCCCACAAGCCATCAGCAAGCTGTAGCGCGAAAACTAAGCAATTTAGCGAAAAATTTGTAAAGACCTTTATTGATGGCCCAAAAATTATAAAAAATTTCGTGTAAAAAAATCCCAGATATCCTCAGCCGTTTCAGCGAAAAAGAGGTTTTTCGGGTTTTTCGCTGTTTTACAAAAAACGGCTTCCGGAAAACCAAATTCACACAACAATATTCGCAATCCTTTATTACACCATTACGCCAGCGGAAATAACTTTGTGGCTATGTTATCACTTTTGTCTCAGTTTCGGCTATTTAACTGGACTAATACCAGAACAGAAGGTTTGGGATCTACCATACTAAAGATTCAGAAAAAATAGTGACATTCGTCCGCTTTAATTTGAAATTACCTCATTTTTCAAGCAACAACGGTTTTACAATGAGATGAAGAGAATTCTGTTTATGAACGTAAATTTGATCACAAAAGTATGACAATGTTCGCACTTAACAGAATAATTGTCATTAAAATTCAAATATTCGTTGAGTCATGACTTCAGCTTTTCAACCCGTAAATCATTTTCGAATCGCTTTCCACAGAAAAATTTCTTAACGTTTGGGAAATAGTCCAGTTAAATAGCCAAAACTGAGACAAAAGTGATAACATAGCCACAAAGTTATGTCCGTTGGCGTAATGGTGTTATAAAGGATTGCGAATATTGTTGTATCAATTTGGTTTTCCAGAAACCAGCCGTTTTTTGTAAAACAGCGAAAAACCCAAAAAACCTCTTTTTCGCTGAAACGGATGAGGATATCAGGGATTTTTTCACACTTAATTTTTTCTAATTTTTAGGTCATCAAAAAAGGTTTCTGCAATTTTTTTGCTAAATTGCATAGTTTTCGCGCTACAGCTTGCTGATGGCTTGTGGGCGAGGGGTTTGAGGGGACAGGGGCGGCGTACCTGCATACCACCAACCTGTCGCCGCAGCGTCCACGCAGACGATCTCTTACTATATAGTGGGGTTATTGACTAATAGTCCAGTTGAATTTCGAACCCTGAGCTCGCTTGTCAGTTTGGCGTTCACCGACTTTTCCGAAAAAACTGATTTTCGAAGTTTATGCGTTTAGTATCTCGAGTAATTTCTCTTCAATTGCTTGTCGATTGACTGGATAAGTGATTTAAGTTATCCACGATGGATTTTTTAACGGAATTTGTTTTCATTTTCCAATGTTAGTATTGTATTTTTTAGTAATAAGTAGTACAGCCCAAATTCAGTATATGTTGTCCAAAATTCAGCATGTTTTCGAATTCCATTAGCACTATGTTCTGGTATTAATAACAAACATCAGACATATTAGACTGACTGGATCGAAAATTGCATTACACTTACTGGAAACCGATTCTCACCGAAATTGTTTCTGTTATTCAATAGGAATAAAATGCAGCAAAATGGTTACTGCGCCATTTGCAGTTATCCGTTAGCGCTCGGCAATTGCAGGACCGTGGGGAAAAAGGGAATCACACAGAGCAAACGCGTGGAAGACAAAAAATGGTTGGATTGGGAGAAAAAGGAAAAACTGGATCGCCATGAGAAGTGTAGACTTTCATACTCGGTCAGTGGAAAGTATACTCAGAATTTTGCGTTAAATGCACCCGATAATAATATCGTAGCTGCAAGCGATGAGGTTCCTGATTTCCATTACGCAGATAATTGCTTCATTTGTGAAGAAATGACTCTTTGGGAATTAGCGTTGTTGAAAGATTACAAAACATTTGTTTAATTCGGGTACAAGGCAGATATCACCGGACATGCATGTCTCATTTCAATTCGCATGGTTTAAAAAAAAGATCTAAACTGGTCTAGAATCGATTCATTGTAAGAACCTGTGTGGCAAGTTCTTGAAGAGGACAAAAATGTTATTCATTATTTGTCGAAGTTAGTGAATGATGACTCTATAGATAGAAGGACTGTAGCAGATCACATTAAAAACGTTGCGGTAAGGAAGTTGAGTGCAGTATAATGGGGGGAAAAGATATACGTGTATGCTTCAAAAGTCATCATGTTTTTAATGTGTTAGCAGACCCATCAACTTTCACAGAGGGGCAGATACAAGTCGAAAGATTCAAGGCATGATTTGCGCATGGGCTTTTTAGAGCATTTGGCAATTCTATTACAGCGCCCTTTTGTTCACCTAACATTAGGTTACACGTATCAGTACCAATGCCCACACATAGTTTTGAGTCTAAGTTATTGGTTTTAATGAAATGCTTGACTGATTGAGCAAGAATTTGACATGTGAGTTTGGACTCCATTCTATCTTCATCAAAATTTGAGTAGCAATCCACAAATCCCATGAAGTCCTCGTAAATATGTGTTTGATAACAATACCGCAATACGATTGACATTTGTGATTTATGGCTAATATCTATAATTTCGTCAAATATAATACTGTAATACTGACTTTGCCTGACGCGACTTAAAACTATATCCAAGATTTCTTGGCCACAACATTCTATAATTTCATTTTGGATGCGGTTACTTATGTACGTAGCATGCGCTTTTGAGTTCTCTAAGTTTTTTTTCAATAAATTGTCGCCGCTCTCTACTCTAAACCGTATTAGTTCTCTAAAATTCCCTTCATTATTAAGGACATCCTCGTCATTCGTGATGTCATTAGAAAAAAGTCGTCTCCTATCCCTGCAGCCTCGAAAACGAGTCTTTTGATGACTCATTGGGCGTCTACACCCTGTAATGTATTCTTATCATTGCCACTCACTTATATACACGTTCACACCTTTTTTGCAGCTGTAGGTTTTTTTATCGCTGTTCCAATTCTAAATGAAAATATTATACCTCACTTATCCCGTCAATCGGTAAGCGGCTGAAGAGAAATTGCTGCATCTGGAAATCTACTTAAACGCATAAATTTCAAAAATTCATTAATATGCGTAAGTCGGTGAACGCCACAACTACAAACGAGCTTATTATTCGAAATCGACTGGACTATCACCGAGAATGAGACACTGAGGACGCCGAAATAAAAGAGAATCGTCCCCTTCAACGGTGTGGCAGCTGGTGATATGTGTACGCCGTCCCTGTCCCCGCAAACCCCTCGCCCACAAGCTATCAGCAAGCTGTAGCGCGAAAACTAAGCAATTTAGCAAAAAAATTGCAGATACCTTTTTTGATTACCCAAAAATTAGAAAAATATCAGTGTAAAAAAATCCCAGATATCCTCAGCCGTTTCAGCAAAAAATAGGTTTTTTGGGTTTTTCGCTGTTTTACAAAAAACGGCTGGTTTCTGGAAAACCAAATTGATACAACAATATTCGCAATCCTTTATAACACCATTACGCCAACGGACATAACTTTGTGGCTATGTTATCACTTTTGTCTCAGTTTTGGCTATTTAACTGGACTATTTCCCAAACGTTAAGAAATTTTTCTGTGGAAAGCGATTCGAAAATGATTTACGGGTTGAAAAGCTGAAGTCATGACTCAACGAATATTTGAATTTTAATGACAATTATTCTGTTAAGTGCGAACATTGTCATACTTTTGTGATCAAATTTACGTTCATAAACAGAATTCTCTTCATCTCATTGTAAAACCGTTGTTGCTTGAAAAATGAGGTAATTTCAAATTAAAGCGGACGAATGTCACTATTTTTTCTGAATCTTTAGTATGGTATATCCCAAACCTTCTGTTCTGGTATTAGTCCAGTTAAATAGCCGAAACTGAGACAAAAGTGATAACATAGCAACAAAGTTATTTCCGCTGGCGTAATGGTGTAATAAAGGATTGCGAATATTGTTGTGTGAATTTGGTTTTCCGGAAGCCGTTTTTTGTAAAACAGCGAAAAACCCGAAAAACCTCTTTTTCGCTGAAACGGCTGAGGATATCTGGGATTTTTTTACACGAAAATTTTTATAATTTTTGGGCCATCAATAAAGGTCTCTACAAATTTTTCGCTAAATTGCTTAGTTTTCGCGCTACAGCTTGCTGATGGCTTGTGGGCGAGGGGGTTTGTGGGGAAAGGGACGCGCGTACACATGTCGCCAGATGCCGCACCATTGAAGCGGAACGATCCTCTTTTATTTCGACGTCCTCAGTGTCTCTCTCTCAGTGATAGGCCAGTCGATTTCGAATAATAAGCTCGTTTGTAGTTGTGGCGTTTCAGCGAAAAAGAGGTTTTTTGGGTTTTTCGCTGTTTTACAAAAAACGGCTGGTTTCCGGAAAACCAAATTCATACAACAATATTCGCAATCCTTTATAACACCATTACGCTAACGGACATAACTTTGTGGCTATGTTATCACTTTTGTCTCAGTTTCGGCTATTTAACTGGACTAGTATTTGGATCTCTTTCAAAGGACAAGCTACATCAGTCTTAAAAAATGGATGCAAATATCATAGGTTAAGTTATAAAAGTCCCATTTTACCAAGGCTGAAAATATCCTATTTCATTTTTTTTTTCTCCTATTGTATCGGACTAAATCGGAGAAAAAACAAAACCAAACATATTTTGTCTCCTCTCAGAAATATTCGCGTAGGACAACTATAAAAATACTCGAAATTGGCATATTATCCCAAATACCATTTCAGTATGTGAGGAGAATAGATCGTTCCCAGAAGTGTAATCTTACACACATTAAATACTATTATTATTAATGACAGAACATATAAAAACAGCGAGTATTGCCATATAATATTATCAAGGAGGAATCTGCCAGTTTCTGTAATTACGCCTCTACCTGTGACAATATACAGGAACGACTTGAGTCGAGGTTAGCAGGTTATCAAACTGATAATTCTTTTTTAATACTAGACTGAATCGTGTGAATTTCAGCTAATCAGCAAGAGAATAATTTACAGTTTTTACGAATAACTTTTTTTGATAAAGTTAAAAATCATACTTTTCGCGGGTGATATTTCATAACTTTGCGAAAACAAGTTATTTGTGAAACATGCAAGTTGTCCCCTAGATAATTAGCTTTTAGAGCTTTACGCGTGAGATTACACGAGTTAGTTAAATATAAAAATATAACTATCTGTTTGAAATCTCCTAACCTCAATACCCTGCGAACTCCGCCTCAACTTCTACAACCCGTTTAATTCAGATGGATGATCAAATATGTATTAAACCACTGATGTGACAAATCCCAGATAACCAAAAGTGTTCAGAGATTCAAAAGATGGTTCAAATAACGTATTACATAATAAGAGCACAAACGCGCAAAGATTTCAAAAGTTGTACCATCAGTTTTTATGTATACCCCTCAAGGCTGAAATTCGATTACAAAGGCATTGTAGGAAAAAACATTACTAATAATGCAGTCATTCATTTTAGATTATTATGACTTACTTCTTGGTCCACATACTGGAGCAGGTATGTCCAGCCGGTGAAATCAGTGGGATCATCATTGACTGCTTTCCAGTATTTATCTAACTCTGGAAGTTTTTTGGGCTTTTTCTCCTCCTTTTCTTTTTCAGCAGAGTCAGTGGCAGCTTTCTTTGGTGGTGTTTCACTTTCAGATGTTGGTGAGCACGGATCATAGTTTGACTCATCAAGTTTTCTCTTTTTACTACTTTTCTTTGTATCAGTTTTTTCTGTTTTTGACGCAGGCAGTTCCTCATCAGATACAACCTAGAAACCAGTTTTATGAGAATCTGTCTTGAATATAATATAGACCTTCAGAAATATATTATGCAACATTTGTGAGGACATGGAAGGGATGTATCCAGTGATGTCATTATAAAGTTAATTATAGATAGTAAATGTGAAAGATTGTCCTAATCTATAGTTTGTTTTTACTTCTTATGTCAAAACCATGTCACTCATTTCCATCGGCCTATCGATCCGCTAATTTTATATCCGCCTATAACTTGAGAAGTACCACTCGGATTTTGATGAAATTTTTACACAAGGTTACTACTATGCCAAGGATGAGAAAGCTTTTTTGAAAATCGGTCTAGAGGTGGCGGAGCCAAACAAATAAAATTGCTTAAACTTCGTTTTTTGTCGTTTCAGAGGGTCCTGATCATTTTTAGAAAAATTTTTGCAGGGTTTGAAGCTTGAGGATTGGGGGTTGCAAATGTAACGTCTTCAGTGTGTCAAAGATGTTCTATCATTGAGAAGCTTCTGATCCCGGTAACAACTCGAAAATTTAATGATAAAAGTCCATTGTTTAGTATGCTCATAATTCGAAATAACCTGGGCAGTCGTTAGCGTTGCGTACACGGCGCGATGCTGCATAATCGTGGAGGCCGCTGCAATGGGTAACAGACTCCAACTGGTCTGCGGTGGTGTCGCCACTGTCACACCGCTACAGGAGAAATATACTAAGTGACATATAAACTGCAACACCCAGAATTATCGAATTTTGATAAAAACTTGTAGACATATATGCTATCATGGAAGTAAACGCTGATAAAATGTTGAAGGCATTTCGAGCCGTACTTTTTTGTCATATCAGGATCCGAACAATATGAACATGTTTATTTAATATTTTTCTGTGATTGTTCCATTTGTTCCTAGACGCTCCAAGTTCACTCAACTTTCCGAGTTTGATAGGGGTCGGGTAATCGTGTTACGTGAAACTGAATTTTCTTTTAGAGAAATCGCTAATCGAGTGAATCGAAACGAAGCTACTAACTGTAATAAGATGTTGTCGAGCGTGGTTCGAAGAAGGCCGAAATCGACGAGTTAGAGTTATTGGACGTCAAAGACACTACAGAGCGACATAGTCATTATTTGAGGCAACTAGCACTTAGAGATCTATTTTCCACAATAAGGGCAGTTGCGAACCAATGGTTTGATGCTGTCGGAAGGGCAATAACAACGAGGACTCCCCTACAACTTGTCTGGTTTCTGGGCCACCAGACCTGACAGACAGACGACAGACACTGACATTACAGTGACTATGACCTAAAAGCTAAGGTCCTCCGGACCGCCTTGAGAAGCAAAGACGAGTAGTAGTAACAATGAGGACAGTTTATCGCCGAATACGGTCTTTTGGACTTTTTTATACCGTCCCCATCTTGTACTATCTCTGACCCCACAGCATCGACGGCAACGATTGGTATGGAGGAGGGTGAGACTTGAATGGAATATGGAGTGGAACTCAGTCGTGTTCAGCGACGAGTCCAGCGTAAGGAGACGTGCTGAAAGACGGAAACTCCAATATTCCATCGAACGGCATATTCATCTCACTGTGGGTGTTATGGTATGGGGTGTCATGGCTTACGGCGGCAGGTCATGATTAGTGTTCATTCGAGGTATGATGACTGTCCAGTGTTATATCAACGAAGTTTTACATCTGATTCCCTTTTTGGAAGCATTGCAAGATCCACTTTTTCAGCAGGACAATGCACGATCTCATGTCGCACGTGTTAGTTTAGACTTTTTAGAAGCGTACGGAGTAAGTCTGCTTCGGTGGCCTCCTCGATCTCCAGACCTTTCCCCCATCGAACATGATGGGAAGAAGGTTGCAAAATTCACCCCACCCTCCACAAACATTTTAGGCTCTTCGAAACCAAATTCTGATGACCTGGGCAATACAATACACAAAGAAGACATCAATCGCATAATCCAATCAATGCCGCGACGACTTAACGAATGTCTAGCGAACAGAGGAGCTTCAACACATTATTAACATTAAGGTAGGATATCTCAGCTATTTTGCGAAATTTAGAATTGAAATTTTAATCACATTCTATTTATCAGTATACCTAAAACTTGTAAAAGTATGCTCAAAGTTACAGCACTCCTAGTCGGTGATACATTTAGTCATTTAGTATATTTACATATTTAAGCAATATTTGGCTATTAGGAGTATGTACCACGTTAGCGTTCTGCAATGCTTTTGTAAATGACTTAACTGTTTTTATATCTGCACATGTATTTTTCTGAACTTCATTATCTTTAAATGTACCACCAATTTTTCTAACCTTTAATTTGAGTTACTCCGTCTATGATAGTTCTCTGAACAATTCGTCAAGTAGATTGACTTAGTACTTATGACGCATGATATACAACAGATATGGACTGACATAAGTGAGTAACACGGAGTTGTGTGATGCATATATCTTTAAGCAACTGAAAACTAGTGAATCGAATTTCGAATATTATCGCGAGTTTAATACTTTACCACGTTTCAGAGATTCGTACCTATTTTTGGAACGGGTCAAGTTATCAAACGAAAATTCCGGACGAAGAAATTTATGTATAAATTCTATATTTTAGCGTAAGTTGAAAAATTTCAGAATGGCGGCTGGGCGCTTCTTAGTTAAATTTTTTAAATGGAATGGGAGAGGTCATGCAATACGTGATTTTGAAGCTTCTTATGAGTGCTTTATAACCCTAGAATATAAAATCACTGTCTTTCAAAATGGTGGATTGACAGACCGTGAGAGTTAGGCGTTTTCATACATTGAATCGGTTATAGCTCTGCTAATCACCAAAATAAAAAATAAAGTAAAAATCTGTCAATTTATTTTGAACAGAGTGACCCATACTTTTTCGCACATTCAGCTGTGCCCAAAAGAAAACTGAATCAACATAACCACATTTTGGAATATAAAGTACTCATAAGGAGCTTCAAAATGAGGTATCATATGATCCGTCATTCCATTTATGGAAATGTTCTAAGTTCTCGCCCAGCCGCTAGATTTAAGTTTTCAACTGTTATTTTAATGATTCAGTTTCATCAACCCGAATTTCAGCTTGTTAGCTTGATCTGTTAACACAAGAACTAGGGTGGAGGGGACTTTTCTGAAAAGCGCTGAATAGTTCTTTGTTTCTTATCTCGATCTATTTGTCCAACAGGTTTTGAATAACTCTATTTTAATGGAAATATCAATCATATAGTTCACACGCATGCACACACACACACATATATATATATATATATATATATATATATATACTAAGTGACATATAAATCCGAACACCGAGTTTAAATGGTTTTATTTTAATAAAAGTTGGTGAATGAATTTATCTTACTGTAAATAACAAGTGAACAAATTTTCAGCCTTATCAGTTGGAAATTCCGGTTTTTATACTGCGTTTCTTTAATTCACTAACGCTCTAAAAATGAATATTTCAGCCGCAGTAAAGAATCAACGTTGGCGGATTTTGGTTCTTGACATCCTTTACGATCGGTTACGATGCCTAGAGTACGGAGACCTGTACGATTTCGTCAACTTAGTGAGTTTGATAGGGGCCGTATAGTGGGACTTCGGGAAGCTAGACTTTCTTTTCGGGCAATTTCAGTTAGAGTGCAAAGAAGTGTAGACACTGTGGTTAGGTGTTGTCAGGCATGGCTTCGAGAAGGCCGTACGCAAAGAGCAAGGGACACTGGACGCCGCCGTAGAACAACAGACCGTGAAGATCGCCGCCTAAGATTATTGGCCTTAAGGGACCGTTTCTCCACTACCAGGTCCATTGCAAATGAATGGTTTGCAGAACACGGAAGAGCTATTGGCATGCGAAGTGTTTACCGACGAAGAAGTTTTGGCTTGTTTTCGTACCGGCCACACTGGGTCCGCCCTTTAACTCGAGAACACCGACGTAATCGCCTTGAGTGGTGCAGACAACGGTCACTCTGGGATCAGGAATGGAACAGTATTGTCTTTAGTGACGAGTCTCGATTTTGTTTAGGCATGCACGATGGTCGTGCCAGGGTTAGAAGGCGACGTGGTGAAAGGAGGAATCCACAGTTTTTTGTTGAAAGACATGTTCATCACACTGTTGGAGTTATGGTTTGGGGTGCTATAGCTTATGGTTCCAGGTCACCTTTAATCTTCATCAGAGGTAACATGAACGCGCAGCGTTATATCCACGAAGTTCTAGAACCCCATCTTTTACCCTATCTTGACACCCTGGCAGATCCAACTTTCCAACAAGATAATGCCCGACCACATGTTGCAAGAGCCACAATAGACTCCTTTCAACATAATGATGTCACATTGTTACCATGGCCACCAAGATCTCCCGACTTATCTCCAATTGAGCACGTGTGGGATATGATGGGTAGGAGATTGCTCAATTTGCATTGTCCTCCTCAGACTCTAGAAGCACTTCGAGAGGAGTTGGTGGTTGCCTGGAATGAGATACCACAGGAGGACATTGACCACCTGATCAGAAGCTTGCCTAGGCGCGTTGGAGAATGCGTAGCACATCAGGGTGCATCCACACATTATTAAAGGTCAAAGGGCTTTAAAGCAGTGCAATCATTTTGAAATTTGTATCATTCACTTATTATGCTTCATTAAGTACTTATACAAAATTTTATTAAAATAAAACCATTTAAACTGGGTGTTCGGATTTATATGTCACTTAGTATATACAGGGTGTCCCAGAAGTCGACGTCAAGCCGAAACCGGGTGATAGGCAAAGTCATCACAGCTATCAGAAAAATATTTAAAAAAATTTTATGTATGTGTTTTGAAAATTATAGGTCTTTGAAAAAAATATAGAAATTTCACACCCTACGGCAGTCTGTCAACTCCTGATACTACAAATATTAACTTTTTTTGGATTTTATTTTTACAATGTAATGATGAATAATGCATCTTCAAACTGGTGTCTCAACCTTACTGCCAACTATTCTCGTTCAGGAAAAATGGCCACTTATTTCCCAACCAAGTATTCCAAAGTAAAACTTTGCTCAACCTTAGCTGGCTGTACTGGAAAAAAATGTACTACGAGAGTTTGGCAAGTAACCTTAAAAGTTGGCGCATTTAATAAGGATTCCAAAATGGTATAACACTTAGAAGATTTCTCGTTAACTTATGCACAATTTTTATTTGAAGAAAAACTGATGAAAATTTTTCAAAATTTCCTAATTAAACAGCGATTATGAAAACGCACAAGGACCCTTAAGGATAACTGTTTGCACAACAGTGGGCGTCAAAATGCTGCTGATGATGATTTACCTTTACAGCAAATGCTCAAACTGTTTTCCTTCAGCCGCAATACACGCTCGACATCTTAAAAAAGATCGGGTTATTAAACGAGCGAATCCACGGTTATTAACAAACTCCGCTGCTTCCAATAGTCTTTGCCGTAGCTCAGCTACATTTTGAATCGGCTTGAAATACACTTTTTCTTTTACAGCTCCCCAGTAAAAAAAATCTAACGGATTCAAATCTGGTGACCGGGCTGGCCACGGTATTGTACCAGACCGCCCTATCGATCTGCCTGGAAAGTTTTGATCGAGATACTCTCTCACTGAGCGTGCATAGTGCGCTGGGCAGCCATCATGCTGAAACCACATGTCCCTGTAAATACTCAGTGACACGTCCTCCAATAAATTTTCTAAATGATTTTGCAAAAAAACTAAATAAACCTCAGCAGTCAAAGTCTCTGGGAACTCAAACGGACCGATTATTTTACCATTTAAAATTCCTGTCCAATGGTTTATCTTGAAGCGATATTGAGATTTATCTTCTCTCATCAAATGTGGGTTTGCTACGTGCCACTCATGTTAGTTATGCAGGTTCATGTACCCATCTTTCTTAAATGTCGTCTCATCGGACCATAACATTTTTTCAAAGAACCGTGGATCTTCCCTGTGTCTTTCTAACATTGTGCGACAAAAAGCAACTCGGGGCTCATAATCCCGGGGCAGAAGAGTTTGAACACGCTGTACGTGGTATGGATGGAGCACGTTTTTTTGCAAGATTCTATAGGCTGTACTTTTGGGCACACCTGTTTTTAGTTCTATTGCACGCACTGAAGTACTCGGGTCTTCTTCGACAGCTCTTAGCACCACGTCTTCGTAAGGAAGGAAAGATCTTCCCTCACCGTGTGATTGGTTTGGTAGTTGGCCCTCTGAGAACAGTAAGCAGTGCACATTTGTGAACACTCGATGATCTGGATGACGAGCTGCACTCGGGTACCTCTCACAGTAAAGTCTCGCTGCAGCACTAGCGTTGCATCTGCATTCCCCATAAATGAGGTGCATGTTAGCATATTCTTGTACGGTGTACACGGACATAGCGGCACTGCACAATCACACTACCAAAGATAGTCTAAGGAAAGCAAATGTTGTTTTGAAGAGCAATTACATCACAAGCGATCAACAGTCCAGTTCACGAATCCAAAATTAGTAACAGTAGGAAATCAACAAGCACGAACATGTAAAGATGCGCAGTTTTTTTTTCAAATAAAAATTGTGCATAAGTTAACGAGTAATCTTCTAAGTGTTATACCATTTTGGAATCGTTATTAAATGCGCCAACTTTTAAGGTTACTTGCCAAACTCTCGTACATTTTTTTCCAGTACAGCCAGTTAAAGTTGAGCAAAGTTTTACTTTGGAATACTTGGTTGGGAAATAAGTGGCAATTTTTCCTGAACGAGAAAAGTTGGCAGTAAGGTTGAGACGCCAGTTTCAAGAATAAATTGTAAGAATTGTAAGAATAAAATCTAAAAAAAGTTAATATTTGTAGTAACAGGAGTTGACAGACTGCCGTAGGCTGTGAAATTTCTATATATTTTTCAAAGACCTATAATTTTCAAAACACATACATAAAATTTTTTTAAATATTTTTCTGATGGCTGTTATGACTTTGCCTATCACCCGGTTTCGGCTTGACGTCGACTTCTGGGACACCCTGTATATATATATATATATATATATATATATATATATATATATATATATATATAACAAAAAAATAGTGAGCAAAATCCGCAAAAAGAAGGAAAGTGGATTCGCATATGCTACTACAAAAGTAGATACACATGCCCATATATCCGTGTAACCTGAGGAAACGAAGATTGAGAGGGAAAACATGACACGCGAAGTCCACAACAAGAGCCAAGAAGCCTAGAAGACTTTTCAAGACGACAACTAACCACAACCACGCGGCCGGCTATAGCCGCTTGCTGTGGTACTTCAAGCCCAAATGATCTATTTTTTGTTATACATATACCTTTTTCCGCATGATATATATACAGGGTGTTTCAGTTTATTATTGCATAACTTTAAGATTCGATAGACCTTTTAAAATTAATGCATAAAGTCTATATAAACATGGGTCGAAAAATGCGTGGCTTCCGAAATACAGGGTGTTTAAATTTACTTTCTAAAATAGTTTTTTTTTTAAATATTTCGAACAATATTTGATGTATAACAGTGAAAATTGGTATACAAGGGTTTTTTGGTACGACAAAACGAACCATTGGCATAGTTTTACTGTAGCCGCTAGAGGGCGCTCTCTACTGTACCTGTAGTGTATTAAAATGACCGAAATTTTTTTCTTAGTGCAATTTTTTGCTTTTTGAATAAAAAAACTGATTCTTCGCACTTTTCAACATAAAAAAACTCTCTTGTGAATTTTCGTTATAGTTAGCCGTTTTTGAGATATTTCGATTTTTAAGGCTCGATGCATTTTTAATTATTTACGATAAAATAACGTTAAAATGTCAGTATCTCGATAATTTTTAGAAGTAGGCTGTGCCTGCAAATATTTTTGAAATTGAAAGCAGAATAAGGTTATACGTCAATTAGTTGAGTTAGTTTTGTTGTCTGTTGAAACCTGAAACGTTTTTTTGCAATTGTGAATGCACGAAATTTAGTTTCTTTTACCTGTTTTTTTTTTGCAAGTTTTATAAAAATGCCATTTTTATTCTCCAATCAAGAGTTAGCGGATATTCATTTTGTGTATGACGACATCCAACTCGCTCAGTATTTGTAAGAGTGCATCGCCTAATAATTGAAAATGGTTTTGGAAATCTCAGAAAGGGTCAAAACATAAATGTTCGTCAGCGCAGATTTATCCGTGATTTATCATTTGCAACCTGTGCAAGGACTACAGCTAGGGGACGGAGAACGAAGAATCACATTTTGTCAGTGGATTCTTGATAGAACTGATAATAATAGGGAGTTTTTAAGTAACGTTTTATGGACTGATGAGTCATGCTTCACTAGACGTGGAGTGGTAAATTTTCATAATCAACATATTTGGTCGCATGAAAATCCGCATGCAGTTCGGGAAAGAAATTTTCAGCATGAATTTAGTGTGAACGTGTGGATTGGTATCTACCGTAATCGACTATTTGGACCCTACCTTTTGCCTGCAAGGTTAAATGCTGCGACCTTCTTGGAATTTTTAAAGGCTGAACATGCAAATATGTGGGATGATGTTATGTTAGATTCAAGAATATTGGCCAAAAAATTGCACTAAGAAAAAATTTTCGGTCACTTTAACACACTACAGGTACAGTAGCCCTCTAGCGGCTACAGTAAAATTATGCCCCTGGTTCGTTTTGTCGTACCAAAAACCCTTGTATACCAATTTTCACTATTATACATCAAATATTGTTCGAAATATTTAAAAAAAAACTATTTTAGAAAGTAAATTTAAACAGCCTGTATTTCGGAAGCCACGCATTTTTCGACCCATGTTTATATAAACTTTATGCATTAATTTTAAGAGTTCTATCGAATCTTAAAGTTATACAACAATAAACTGAAACACCCTGTATATATATATATACCTCAGTATCAGCTGGTAATTCGGCGCGCTTGGGCCCTGGTAGCTCTTCATCTGACACCTCTTCCGCTTCTGGAACTTTGGCAACTTGAACAGCAGGTAACTCATCTTCAGATATATTCTCAGCATCAGGATCACCATTCTATAAAGATAATCTGAATGACTAGTGACAGGTGACACGTTAGGATTTAATAATTTCCAGGCATTCATGGATTACTTGCCTGGTTTCTTAAAAATAAACCATGAAGCATGCAAGTTGAAAAAATATGCAGACTTCATCCTTTGAATGACTTCATTATCTCCCATTTTTTTTAAAGTATTGCAAAATTATTTATATTTCCTGATATTTCCTTTTTCTAATACTTTCAAAAAAGGCATGAGTTTGATGATGTGCAATAAAATAATTCGCGGCTTATAAATTCCTTTCACAAATACACTAGCTGCTCTTTTTTTATTAGTGTTATAATGAAAATTAATTCTTTAGTGTAGAATTTAAATGGACAGAATAAATCCCATGTTGCTTGGAGGCTTAGGCAAATGCTGCATGTTCAGTATTTACTGTTATCCATACCATCAGTATATATTGATAGATCTGTCAACGGCAGATATTTCTACATATAGTGGGTACCAAATAAAATCCGATGCACGTCATAGGTGATGTCATTCATAAAAATCATGGTTACCAACAGTTGACTACATTCAATGTGACATTTCTACTTGAAGTTTAAATTTCCCCGTCTCGATTCGGTTGGTAGTGCCGTGCAGAGAAATGTGAGGTTGCCACTTCTCATTTGTTGACATCAGTTGCCATTGTCCTTTTATTAGTTCTTTATTGTTTAGTTTGTGAGTTTTGCGCTATTTGAGCTTTGAATCGTTGCCTTGCCCAATAAAAATTGTTCTTTTCAGATCAACAGTTACTGCGAAGTGGTGTAAAGTATCCAAAATGCCAAAACAACTTAACAGTCGGTGTAAAGAGCTCATATCATTGAATATCCACCAAAATCAGGTGTTTTTATTCAGAAGGGAATTTAATTTTACAACAAGTTTATTTATTTTTTAATATAATGGTATTATCGTATATATAAACAATCTATTTTATTAAATTTATTTGCTTAAAAGAAAATGTGCAAATTCTGGCAACAGCGCACAGCTCCAGATCGATGACGTGCATCGGGTTTTATTTGGTATCCACTATAAAATTATAAGTCAATAACTTCATTGTACAATGAAAAAATTATATATTAAAAATACATTGTTTTTGGCAGAAGTACATAGCTTTACTTTTATGAAGTTTATCAATAATAATGGCCCTCCATATTTTTGTTTCTTACATGTAGAAAATGGGGAATGATAGGCATCAAACCACAAGAGGAAAATTACCAGGAAAATGGAGGATAAACTGGATTTGGTTTTAATAGCATAGCGTCAAATATTTATATATAAAATGTGATCTTGTAATCTGATTTCGAAAATGTTCATAAACTACCACCCTCATCTTCAAACTACTGGTGGAGCAGAAATAGAAAAATGCAGATTTTCAACGAAACGTGGGAAAAAGTGAAATGTACAAAAAAGTGAAGAAAAACGTAACAAGTGAGACTAAGCATCCCATATGCCAGATATTTAACAAACACCACATTTTATGATAGATACTGAGGCATCAGTAAACACTGAATGTGTAGCATTTGGATTAAGGTGTGTATGATTCAGTCCATTGTAGAAATAGTTGGCTTTGACAATATTACACTACATTTTTTGTGAATGAATTATAGTGCAAATAAAGTTGCACCTACAGAGCATCTATCAAAGTCTACCATTTTGAAATTCACTTGCTGATACATCTTAATGGTGATAGCCACTAAGTGTATGTGTTTTATCAATTTATTGTATAAACCTATAACCAATGATTAACGTTTAACTTCCTGAAAATACCCAACCATGTAGGGTAATTCAGCATCCAAAATTGCTATGTTTATCCTCTCCACAATTATTAGATTTCTGTTTTTGAATGGTTAATGAGTCATAGATAGCGCTATGATATATGAGCATATATGACAACTATATGAGCATATATATAGTTGGCTACAGCACCACCTACGAGACACTAACCTTCTCAAAGCAGATTTCCAAGAGTGTAGTAACGTAGCTATGACAAATTTTCATAGATAACTCTACAATATCTCATTCCATCTAAGCATGTGCATAGCCAAGGGGGGGTAGAGTGGGCAATTACTCCCGAACCCATAGATGATGCTGATTCCAAAAAGCAATTTTATTGTTTATTGAAGAGCAGACCTTTTAAATTCTAAATAATAGTTTATATAATTTCTCGATTAAAATTAAAAGTTTAAGACCTAGAGTGCTGTATGAATCTCGCCAATGTCAATTTTATTGTTTTTTGTTGTTTTATTTCACCCCTGCAGTGTATTTGACTATTTGAAATATAGTCCAAGTCAAAAACCATGGGATGGTGCCATGTATTTCATCAGATTTGTAATATGCTCGTCGATAAAGTCAAGTCGGAGGAGTTGGCTTGCTATCAATTGTTTTCCAGTTCTTTGTTCTCTTGCACCAAAGGTGGCGCTCGCACCACCTTGTTAATGGCAAGTAGGTAGTATGGACAGAGATATTTTCATATATCAACAGTTGTAAACTTAGTTTGTACGGATATACAGGGTGAGTTATCGAAATGCTCTTTTAGAGCCTACTTTGGCTTCGTTCCAATAAAGCCGTGTACCGTACAGTGAATCATAATGAGCGTGCGCAGTACGTTTTAAGTGACACTAAAAACGTACTACGCACGCTCATGACGGTTCAGTGTACGGTACACGGCTTTGTTGGAACGAAGCCTTTATTGACACGTTGGTACCTGGGGCTTGAATCTAAATGAGTTTCGACCGTTGAAATTGATTTCTATGGCGCCTTGTGACGATATACTTGATTTGCTATGATAATTTTGACATCTGATTATATTGATCTTCTATATTCAAATAATCATGGCAGTGTCAAAATTATCATAGCTAATCCAGTATATCGTCACAAGGCGCCATCAAAATCAATTTCAACAGACGAAACTCATTTAGAATCAAACCCCTGGTATTTATTTTACCAAAAATCGACCTTTTGTTATTTTAGTTTTGTATTTTCAAGGTCCTTATGAGTCCCTTATATTGTTTTAGAACATATTTCATTCATTCTGTCAGTACCTGGTATTATCTCTTTTGTCAGAACCAACAACATTGTTGAACAATTGGAAGATCAACCTTCCATTGTTGATTTAGTTTCTTAATTTCAAGTTCCTTGTATACGGTAATATCTCAAAATACCCCATATCAGGACACATAATTTTGACTGATCCGTCAACGCCAGGTAGACATAGCCGAATTTTGTTTTGTTTTTTGTACAATACAGATTCATTTTGTACTTGCTAGCAGCTCTTTAATTTAGAAAAGTTAATTTGCATACAAAAAACAAAACGCTATAAACAGGTTTTACTAGATAGATAGAGAGACCTCGGTAGACGTCAAAGAGTGATGGATACTCGTGAAATAGGGTATATAAGCTCTTTTAGATGTTATTAGTATTTTATTGATACAGTCGGTACCCGGTTGATATTTTATATCAGAACCAACAATATTGTTGAAAACCTTGTCTAGAAAAAAATAGGAAGGTTGATCTTTCATTGCAGTTCAGTTTTGCACTTTTTTCTTATATTTAAACAAGGTTTGTTTTAATGGGCACTACTGTCAACAAGTAGAAATTGTTTTGTCAGATTTTTATTCCAGTTATGTTGGCTTCTTTTTATCCAACAAAAAGTTCTTCAACTTATATAACACCTGTGTTTTCTTTGCTTACCATTCCAGTATATCCAAAACATAAACGTTGAACAAATTTTAAATTCTATACGTATAAATAATACTGCATTATCTGTATGAGAACCCGCCTCAGGTAGAGTATATGGCTAAACCCTCATAGCGAAATGTTAAGAAAATACTATGGAGGAAAATTCATTCAATTATCCATATAGACGGCATTTTTAACGACCTTTTTTGGTACCTAAGATAATTTTTTAGATGCTAAAATACACTCCATGGTTGGATACCTTCAGGTAAGATACATTAATATATGCTATCCATAAAGATATACAAATATATTACCATGGATAAAAAAATATAATGACATATACTTCAATTCAATAAAAGAAAAAGGGACTAACCTGTTTAGATATCTTTTTATCCTTTTCTTTATAGGCTTCCTTGGTATCCTCTTTCTTTGCCTCAGTAATTTCTTTTTTCTTAGTAATATCTTTTTTAGCTTTATCCTTTTCTTCTTTAGACTCATCATTCTTCACCCCCACTTCCTTCTTAAAGTCAGAGTCATCTTTTTTCTTTTCTTCGGCTCCTGTTACTGTATCTTTCTGATCTTCAACCTTTGATTTACCTTCTTTTTTTGTAGATACCTTTTTTGAATCAGCTTCATTCACAGATGTAGACTCATCTTCTTTATCTCCAGTTGTTGGTTCTGGTTCTATCTTTTCAGCTTTTGTTTTCTCCTCTGCTTTTTTCTCAGCTTTTGGTTTTTCCTCTTCTTCTTTCTCCTCAACTTTTGGTTTTTCCTTCTCTTTTTTCTCAAATTTTGGTTTTGCCTCTACTTTTTTCTCCTCAACTGTTGGATTTTCTTCTGCTTTCTTTTCAAGCTTTTGTTTTTCCTTTACTTCTGTCTCCACAACTTCTCTTTTATCCTCTACTTTGTTTTTTTCTGTCTGACCTTTTGCATCTTTTTGTTCATCAATTTTTGCTTTTTTCTGTGGCTCTTCTTGAATATCAACTTTCCTTTTCTTGGGAGCTTTAGATTCATCTAATTTTTCTTCTGCTTGTTTTGCTCCCTTTTCATTTTCCTTGTTTTTTTCAGTTTTCTGTTGTTCCTTTTCTTCAATCAGCTTGTTATCAGCTTCAGGTTTTCCTCTATTTACATCTTCCTTCTCAGGCTGTGTTGAGTTAGGAGCTATTATTTCTTCCTCATTTTTGTTTTCAGTCACTCCATCATTGCTATCATCAGCAGTCAACATCTCCACATCATTGAGTACCTTAGTAAAAAACATTGACTTGTACTGATTTGTAAATACAGTAAAACTAGAAAGGTGAACAGGATGGATGAATAAAACAAGGTAAATCACGAAATTTTTATAAGTGTACTGAGCTAATAGTACTAAAACAAGTTTTAGAATAAGAATGCCTGCTTCAGCTGCAATATGAAACATATGGGTGATGGCACCCGGCAATGTGGTAACAGCATTGCCATATCAGCTGATTTTTCTCCACTTTGGGGAAATTTGTATGGGCATTTTAATTCATCTTTTATCATGTGAAAGGGCAGTTAGCAGCAGTGGCATAGTAGTAGATAATAATAATCTATATTTCAAATTGTACAATGAAATTACAGAAATTGTATAGCCACTACAAAATGAAATGTTGCATAACTTTTACCTTAACTTTTAAAATTAATGCATAAAGTCTATATAAACATGGGTCGAAAAATGCGTGGCTTCCGAACTACAGGGTGTTTAAATTTACTTTCTAAAATAGTTTTTTTTTTTAAATATTTCGAACAATATTTGATGTATAATAGTGAAAATTGGTATACAAGGGTTTTTGGTACGACAAAACGAACCAGGGGCATAATTTTACTGTAGCCGCTAGAGGGCGCTCTCTACTGTACCTGTAGTGTATTAAAATGACCGAAATTTTTTTCTTAGTGCAATTTTATGCTTTTTGAATAAAAAAGCTGATTCTTCGCACTGTTCAACATAAAAAAGCTCTCTTGTGAATTTTCGTTAGAGTTAGCCGTTTTTGAGATATTTCGATTTTTAAGGTTCGATGCATTTTTAATTATTTATGATAAAATTACGTTAAAAAGTCAGTATCTCGATAATTTTTAGAAGTAGGCTGTGCCTGCAAATATTTTTGAAATTGAAAGCCGAATAAGGTTAAATGTCAATTAGTTGACAGTTAGTTTTGTTGTCTGTTGAAACCTGAAACGTTTTTTTGCAATTGTGAATGCACGAAATTTAGTTTCTTTTACCTGTTTTTTTGTTTAAGTTTTATAAAAATGCCATTTTTATTCTCCAATCAAGAGTTAGCGGATATTCATTTTGTGTATGTCTTTGTAAATGGAAACGCAGCAGAAGCAGCCAGAGAATACGCACGAAGATTTCCAAACAGACGACATCGCCAAATAATTGAAAATGGTTTTGGAAATCTCCAAAGGGATCAAAACATAAATGTTCGTCAGCGCAGATTTACCCGTATGATTCTGCGTGAGTTTGATAGAGATCCGGCCACAAGTGGTAGGAGAGTTTCTGGTGCCTTAGGAATTTCAGCAAGCCATGTTCACCGTGTTCTTAGAAATAACCATAGGCGTCCTTACCATTTGCAACCTGTGCAAGGACTACAGCCAGTGGACGGAGAACGAAGAATCACATTTTGTCAGTGGATTCTTGTTAGAACTGATAATAATAGGGAGTTTTTAAGTAACGTTTTATGGACCGATGAGTCATGCTTCACTAGACGTGGAGTAATAAATATTCATAATCAACATATTTGGTCGCATGAAAATCCGCATGCAGTTCGGGAAAGAAATTTTCAGCATAAATTTAGTGTAAACGTGTGGATTGGTATCTACCGTAATCGACTATTTGGACCTACCTGTTGCCTGCAAGGTTAAATGCTGCGACCTTCTTGGAATTTTTAAAGGCTGAACATGGAAATATGTGGGATAATGTTGTTAGATTTAAGAAGATTGGCCTGGTTCCAGCTCATTATTCGAGAATAGTTAGAAACTGGCTGGACGAAAATTATCCAGAAAGATGGATCGGCCGTGGAGGACCAGTCGCCTGGCTTCCACGATCCCCTGACCTAAATCCATTAGAGTTCTTTGTGTGGGGATTTCTAAAAGAAAAAGTGTACCAGACTCCCGTAACCACAAGAGATATGCTAATAGACAGAATCAGGAATGCATGTGATGAAATAAGGCCTTATTTGAATAATGCTATACCACGTTCGATCATTCGTAGATGTGAATTGTGTATTGAACAATTGGGTTTACATTTCGAGCAACTACTTTAGATTTTGTATGTTTGTCCTAACTATCCAATTGCATCCAATATTCAGTTACTTTGTTAAAAATAATATTGGAAAATTAAACAAATTAATATTCTGTTTTTGTGTGTTTATTGGGAGTTAGGAATTATTGCTGTGTTTAAAAACACAATCTAAACGATCATCTTAATTACTTGTAATGCCCAAATCGAAAATGTAAAAAAAATATTATTTTCCCATAAATAATTAAAAATGTATTGAACCTTAAAAATCGAAATATCTCAAAAACGGCTAACTATAACGAAAACTCACAGGGGAGCTTTTTTATGCAGAAGAATCAGTTTTATGATTCAAAAAGCAAAAAATTGCACTAAGAAAAATTTTTCGGTCATTTTAATACACCACAGGTACAGTAAAGAGCGCCCTCTAGCGACTACAGTAAAACTATGTCCATGGTTCGTTTTGTCGTACCAAAAAACCCTTGTATACCAATTTTCACTGTTATACATCAAATATTGTTCGAAATATTTAAAAAAAAACTATTTTAGAGAGTAAATTTAAACACCCTGTAGTTCGGCAGCCACGCATTTTTCCACCCATGTTTATATAGACTATGCATTAATTTTAAAAGTTCTATCGAATCTTAAAGTTATGCAACAATAAACTGAAACACCCTGTATATATATACACATATATATTAAAATGGCTACAATCTGAAATTATTACAGGTCATCTATGGTATAAGGCTCTGACTGTATTATAAATTGCTTAATGGTCTTTTTAAATATATGTAAACTATTTGTGTTTTTAAAATAAAATTGAAAACACATGTGGACTATAATCTATGTATTGGATAATTAACATTGACTGTTCCAGTGTCCATAAACAGTTGCACCTCAAATTCAAATAAATTTTTACGTACTGCTCTTTTTTGAATAGCAAAAATTTTTTGAATAACTCTAATGCGTCCCCAAAAATTTATCGCGTACTTTAGAATACTTTCAAAGTTAACTTAGTATAATATTTTCATACTCGAATTATTTAGATATCTTGATGTTACCTTACAACCATACCAAATGGAATTAAGCCTCTTCAGAAGTTCAAATACATGTGTTGTCCAATCTAAAAATTCATCAATATAGATGTCTACAAACTTTACACTTTCACTCAACTGCAGTTGCTGATCATCTATATTGATAGATTGTAGCTTAATGACTTAACTCTGCTTGGTTCTAAATAATGTTGCATCAGTTTTGGATTTATTCAGCACGAGTTTGTTGTTGTTGTTGAAGATTTATTTAGCATTAATGCTGCAATGTCATACATATTTTTCTTCAATCCATTTTCTGTAATTTTACATTCTTGTCTATTAAAATTACATCACTATGCATTATGGTTATTAATAAAGTGAAAATAAGGTTTAATTTCACCTTAAACATTTTTAAATTCAAAAACTGTTTAATATCATTAGTCAATTTATTAAATTCAAATACTCCCTTTTGAAATATAGATTTACTAGTTATGCTACTATTACAATTTTGCAGAGGAGAATCTATACTGCCTCTAGTTTCGTGGTTATGATAATGACTATTTAATTTTGTTTTCTAAATGTGGTGGTAATAAATGATTTTTTAATTTGAATATGAAAATGAGGACTAAATAATATATGAAATTTTTTACATTCAATACTTAATCCTAGCATATTTGTTTTTATTTAAAATGATGATTCTCATAGCTTTATTTTATAGAATTTGTAATTTTGAAAATGTTTTCATTTGCCGTAAACAAGATAGTTGAACAATGTAAAAAATGGGGAAGAATTATGTTGTACACAATTTTTTTGGAATACATACCAAGATTATGAGAAAGTCTATAGAAGCAATTTATTTATTTTGATATTTTTGAAATAATGTATTCACACTTCTCAATAAGAGATTCCCATTAGCAGTTAGGTCCTCGACACTTGTCCCACCCAACACTAAATTTGTGTCATCAGCATGAAGATAATTTCATGGTTGCTCTCATAACTGCTAGTGACAAAAACGTATCATTTAAAAAAACTACAAACAAAATGGACCCAAGTATACTACTACCCTGTGCTATACCAGATGAAGTCAAGTCAATGTTTGATCTCCCTTAACAACTTCAACCCTCTGTTGTTTATTATAGATATATGACTTGAACAACTCAAGTGAAGTTCCTCTTATACCATATTTTTGTAGCTTTAATAACAATATGGTTCTGTCAATGCAATCATAAGCATTGGGACAAGTCCAGATAGAATCCAACCATTAAGTTTAGCTCCTCTAATTGCTTGAGTAATGTTTGAACAAATTGAAATATTGCAGTATCTGTTGATCTCCCATGTAGGTATCCATGCAGATGTGTATTAAATTAATTGAATGATAAATTCTTCTAATCGTTTACTGATGCCTAACTCAAATAATTGTAAAAATGCTTTCAAATATTGGCTGGCCAATAATTTTCTAACTGCTCTGGAAATGTTTGTTGTCTATAAGCATTATTAATAAGTAAGCACAAAATGTTTTAAAACTAGAATAGAAAGTTTTACTATTGTTGTTGGGACTTCATCTATACCACAACTGAATTCATTATTTAATCCTCCTCCACAGTTCACACACTTCATCAACAGTCATTGGTCTTAAGTATAATGATTGGTAGTTTTTTTGTAAATTGCAGTCAAAAGGTACATGTTTCACATCTTTCAGTAAAAGTGGAATTACTGATAACAAATATTTATTGTACTGCGGTGGTATCGGGTTTGGACCTTGTGTCACATGAATGTCCTTATGACTGTTTTTACCTGTGATATCATGGCATATCACCCACATAGACTTTTATTATCCGAATTTCTGTTCGTATCTTACTGATTTGGCCTTCTGCAACAAATACTCATATCTTTTTTTGTGTTCTTATACATTTCCGAAATAAAAAACGACAGCACTATCCACTCAGGTGGTTAATTAGTGAAAGTTTTGCACTCAAAACTGGAACACAGGTACACTTATGTTTGAAACATTTCTCACATCATAATACACATTTTGATATTACTTCTGTAAAAAATAGCGAACCACAAAAACATGATAATTCCGATATTGTTAAGACCTGTGCAGAACATGTCGTACCACAAAACAGTACACTATCTGTTGTGTTGACTAGTCAGGCACCATGAGCTGCATGAATTCGAATCCTGCTCCATGATAATTTTTCTCCCAGCTATGGGTGCTGTGAATGTCCATAAGTGATGTTCTCTGACTGTTGAACATGGAGGTACCACCTATCAGATCTCTAAGATGAGGTCAGAATGTGTGCATGTCACATGCACACATGTTCCCATGCTAGAGTCCATGTGATGTCGTCCTGTATCTCCCAATAGTCCCGCACTGCCCACGGATGTTCTAGCATTAGGCTTTTGTGGTAGATCAAGTACATAAAAAAAATAGTCCTTGCCAAACAATAATTTCAATTTATATACCCTATTCAAATGGCATTTACACTAAATCAAAAAATAGAGACACACGCTTTTGATTTTGCTAGTATTGATAAGGGGTTAGTGTTCAGGACCCTAACAGCTGACATAAATACCATTTGAATGGGGTTTAATATAATAATATGATTTGACTCTATCAGACCTATCTCTCAACATTCACAATAGGGATATTCTAATTAGCTCTCTGTTTGGTCTGTATCCCACAGCTGACTGCCAATAGTGTGAAAAGTATAAATGGATTGCCACCCCTCAGCTGTAGCCTGTAGCCTACCACCCACCACCTGTTTCGTGCCACCTCAGAATATAAATGGAGAGAGCATTCTCCCAATGGAATACCTATAACAATATTTCCAGCAACCTCAGCCAAAAAGTTCACATCACATCAGTAGGGATAGCTCTTACTCCCCTAATCCTAATGTTTCTCAATGTGAGATATAAAATTACAGTTAGATCACCAAAAACCATAGAACAGAGGACATCAGTATCTGTTGAAGCTCTATACAGTGTTGCAGAATCAAAAAAGACAAAATCAGCAGAAGAAAAGAATAAGGGCTGCTGCTAGATCAGCTGTGGTTCAAGTGCCTCTCAATTACACAGCTCTGTTTATGAGAAAAACAAGAATATTTTTGTTTTGCGCATACACATACAACACAGGTTTTTTAAGGCTAACTTTTCCTGAAAAAGTATTGACTTCCTTATTTCAACTTATATAATGAGCACACAGGTTGCTCTTTAAGCTTGCAACCATCCTGGAAACTCCTTTCAAGAACGTGAAACTTCATTAACTGGAATTTACATTTGATATTTAATTAGAAATGGGCCATCTTTGGTTTCCTTATTGCTTGACTGGTGATACAATGACGATGACGATGACAGTCATTTACCACGCCTTTTGTACAATTAATATATCGTGTATTCTTACCACAATAGAATCATCACTGATCTGCTTCAGGATATCACTAGCATCTTCACTTCCATTTTGCTCAGCCTTTGCAACAGTTTTTGCCTTTTTCTCTGGACTTTTTTCTGCCACTATTGCTTTATCATCATCAGGTGCATTGTCACATTCATCTTCAACACTTTTGTTGTTGGCAGAGTTCTCTTCTTCCTCATCAGAAGCATCTACTTCCATAACCACAATCTTCTTTTTTTTCTTACATAATGGCTTGGGTTTAGATGCTGGAGATGCTTTCACTGTCCTTCCAGAACGAGTTTTCCTCACTAAAACATAATTTGATACAGATACTGCCTATTTTTTAGCAGGGCTTAGACCCCTGTCGTACTTTCAAAAGGCAGACTAGGATGTCAATAATAATAAACACATAATGAGCTATATGTATATTATCTTCACATAACTGTATCTGAATGTATCAATGGCAATATGAGTATTTTCGTGTATAATATCAAATTTGTGTAAACTTACCAGTAGCAGTGGTAGCGACCTCTTCCTCCTTGTCTTCCATATTTACAGTTTACAGCTAGAAGCTATCAAATTAGCTCTATAACTACCCGAAGCAATACTGCTGTCCCAAAAATACAAGCCGTTAGTTTATAAAAAACGAATTACAACACAATTCTTGAGGGGAAAACTGTAAATATCAAACAATATTTTATAAAAACGCCGCACACAAATTACTCAAAATGGCTATCACCACAGAAAATATCTCAAGAAGAAAGTGCAGTGCCCTGTCCCATGCTATCCAATGAACAACAATTGGCTTATGTCAATGTCAAGCCGTCATTTTTGTGTGGATGCAGTGTATAAACATAAATCAAATTCAAGCGGATAACCAAATGGAAATGGTATTTACCATTTTGGGTTGGTATTTACCAATCCGTTCAAGCGAGTGTAGTTATCAGTTTGGTTATAAGATCCGTGACGTCACGAATCAGCTGTTATATGTCATAGTTATCACCGCAAAATTGTGGTATTTACCCAACTCAAGAGCAGTTTTATATTTCTGGTTATTATTTGAAATGTGACAAGTTAGAATTTTGCCGGGTATTGGATATTGTTATTGTACTTCAGCTTCATTTTTGAGAAAAATGATACAGGCTGACTTCAGTTTTACCATAAAGTGGAGCACCTTATTAGTTATACTCATTACGGTTGTTGGGGACACTTTAAATGTAGTTCCTATGCTTAACAAAGTATCCTGTGTAGCCATATACCACAAGAATATTAAAATATGGCCATATAAACTCACTAGATGATATCCACCTGTATACGGTTTTGCTAATTTCTTTTTTCATCATTTCTGCTGAATTTATAAATGTTTTCTTTGACATGCGGAAAAATTTAGAGAATTGAAAGTTATCATAGCTCCAAAGCCATGGTTCCATCATTAAAAAAAAATCTGAAAAAACATTTCTCCCATGAATATTATGAAAGGTTTCTTATTTAAACTTTCCATATACAGTTGTAGATGAAAAAGCACCGATTATTAAGTGATAATAAAAATAATCAGAGATTATATACGCACTTTTCTAAAATAAACAACTTGAAACAAAACCGCGGTTAAAACCAACGCGTTCAAGCGATTCGTGTAACTGACGTCATCAACCCGTGTGTCATCTTGAACCATATTATAACCGCGGCACATAACACAGAAATATTGGTTATTCGCTTGGATTTGATTATATTTTGTGGATGCAACAGTGCTGTCAGTTTGTGGTCCGGCACACCTCTTCAAACCGCTCCCACACGATGTGGCGAATGCCTTACAACGGTAGATACATGGCAATTCGCCACATCGTGTGGGAGAGCGCTGACGGATTGCATGTGTCCAACGTTCGCCACATGGCACGTTCGGGCTCTTGTCGGTAAATTTGACCCGCGTCAAAGAACGTTACAACGTTGGAAGCATGGTTCGTTACGCACCCACACGACATGTGTTTGATGGTTTTAGGTCAAAACCAGTGCCGGCAACAAACATTATTTATTTGTTTGCTGAGATTGTGGTGAAGTAGTGGGAAGCATTTTGATTTGAATAGCTACCTATCCATAATAATGTATGTTCCGTAAGTAACTTTTGAGAAGAATGAATTAAATTAGTATACATACAAAACATAGGCTTTTTTATATATCGAAGCAGCCGCACAGGCAGAAACCTAAATGCCGGAACACCGCGGCTGCTATGATGATCCCAAAGAAATTTTATTAATACGATTTTTGAACTGCCTAAGGTTAATAGAACTGGGAATAGCTTTTTCTTGTAGATTGTTCCACAATCTCGACACCCTCGGGACAAAGGAGCGGTCGTATCGGCCGGTTCTGGATGTACGAAGTTCGAAACGGTTAGGACGTGACGCCAAAGTCAGGCGGGTCTGTCTGGCAGGCACATCGCGCGGCGGCATCCTGGAAGAGAGCTTTGAGGAGCAAAGCCCGTTGGTGTAACGGTAGAAAAGAGCTAGATCGCCGACGGCCCTCCGGTGCGAAAGAGTCCTGAGACTGTCTGTTAGAGAAGAGTCATCGATCAGTCGGACCGCCCTCCTCTGGACAGCATCGAGCATGGATAATGTAGTCGGGGCGGCAGCACCCCAAACGGGTGAGCAATACTCGAGGCTAGGCCTTACGTATACCTTGTATAGAGTGAGTAGGTCATGCGGAGAAAAGTTCTTCTTAACCTTAAACAAATAGCCTAGCTTTTTCCCAGCGGCTGCAGCTATTGACGAGATGTGTTCATGCCAGATCAGGTCCTCGGTGATCTGGACTCCAACCAGCCGAAATGAATGGCTCTTTGGCAGAACTCGACCATCCATCGAAATCGGGTGAGCACAGGGACGCTTTTTGTTCGTCGTTTGTTTGTGGGATGAAGAGGAGAACCCGTCAATTATGACTGATATCTTGCGGCCAGAGATAAGGTCAGCCACCCATCTGCAAAGCTTTTCTGGGAGGCCATAGGATGGAAGTTTGCTTAAGAGGGCAACGTGCCACAGCTGATCGAACGCTTTCGTGATGTCAAGAGTAATGACATGAGCCTCACCATAAGACTAAATGAGTTTACTCCACAATTCAGTGACGTAAGCTAGGAGGTCACCTGTGGATCATTGATGCCGGAAACCATACTGCCTGTCGCTAATCAAGCTGTGACGTTCGAGGTAGTCCAGAAGCTCGCGATTTATGCTCCTCTCCATCACCTTACTTAAAACAGAAAGCAGAGCTATAGGCCTGTAGTTGTAAGGGTCGGTCTTAGAGCCTTTTTTGGGATGGGTTGGACATGAGCAAATTTACAGTTTTCTGGGAAGGTGCCGGATTCGTAAGATATCTGGAAGAGACGCAAAAGAACTGGAGCAAGCTCCGGTGCACACCTCTTCAGTACAATGGCAGGAATCAAGTCCGGACCAGAAGCTTTGTTGATGTCGAGCGACAAAAGCACTCGTCTTACGGTCTTATGCCTGAATGTTACCTCCCGCATAGTATAGGGAAGCCTTTGAATTGACGGCACTTGAGCGTTGGGGGGGACGTCCATGGTGGAGTTGCCAGCAAAGAATTTGGCTAGCACTTCCGCCTTGGCCTTTGAGTCGAATACATTAGTTCCATCCTGACACGTAAGTGGTGGAAGGCTACTGTGTAAGAAGTTCTTTTCAATCTGCTTGGCCAGCGTTCAGAAAGACCGACTGTCATTGCGCTGCGACATTACTCTGTGCCTAACTTTTATATCGTGCTGGTTTTTGGCTTTGCGAAATGCTACTTTATATTTGAATCTGGACTCAACGTCGGCTTGTCTGTTCTCTACAGTGAGATTTTGTAAGAAGAGCAGCGTCACACAATTTGTTAAACCAGCCGTTGGTCCCTGGTCTCGGCACTTTCACTGTGTGAGGGTTGTATTCCTCCATTCTGACGTGGATAATTTCGGTTATCGAAGAACAGACAGCCGACGCATCCGCATCAGTGAAACAGACATCTCTCCAAGGAAAGTTAGAGAAGAAATCTCTGAGCCCCTCCCAGTCGGCATGTCCGTAATGCCAAGTTTTGCGGCCTGTTCGAGTTTCTGCTGCCACAGCGGGTTCTGACCGAAACCTAACTTCCACAACACCGTGGCCTGAGTTACCCAGGGGGGACAGGACAGCAGTGCTGTAAGGGACAGGATGCGTGGTCAGAAAGAGATCCAGCATCCTACTGGCGTGTGACGAGACGCGGTGGAAAGAAGTAGGGCTCGTCACCAGCTGAGTCAGCCCTTGGGTAAGAGCGAACGCTTTGACTGTACGACCTGCTGCATCGGTCTTGTTTGAGCCCAGCAAAAGCTCATTATGGGCATTGAAATCACCGAGGAGAACTACCTCTAAAGCGGGGTGATTGATGTTCAAGAAGTCGATCTGGACGGCGAGGTATTCGAGTAGGTCATCTCAGTTATGGTCCGAGGGAGAGCGATAAAGGCAACGAATAAATTTGGGTGATGTTTTGGAGTTGAGGCCAAGCCACAGAATGTCCTTCCGGACTGATTCCAAAGAAACATCTCTGGAACAGGAAAGACTGCTGCGGTCAAAAGCCACAACTCCCCCGTCCTTTCTCAGATTGGAGTGCACCTCGTAGTTTGGGAAGTTAATATGGTTAATCGGTGCAGACTCTGAGATGTTTGATTCCGCCAAGAATAGCATGGCGAGACGATTGGAGTGCAGGTAGTGATGAATAGCATCAATGTTGCTGTTAATCCCGCAGATGCGGACATTTATAAGACATCTTGGGAAAAGCTAGCGGGTTGCACAGCCTCGGTCGACTGGTCCTTGTCTACCACCTTCTTTTTAGGTGTTAGTGATGTTAAATAGACCTAAAGTGGCCCGCTTGTACAATCACTTGAACGGGAAGAAGTTGTATACTGGATGCAACTTCCGGAACAAGCATTTGCCACATCCCCGCTCAGTAGGAGACGACCCCGCTAGTAGGGGTTTATACGCTGTCATTACAGCACTTTTTTCATATTGCTAATATTTTGTACGTTCCGCAGGTGAGTTATGGCTGGCCTAAGGATATGAATTTTAGTATATTATAAATTATTATGTGCTTACAGTTGTTTCATTATAATGTCCTGTTGCAATGCAAGACTAGTTGAGAAATATATTGACTTTCATTCCATAACTAACGAAAAAGATTAAAGAAATGATAACGCTGAAAGTACTATCACGATTTTGATGAAATTTTGACCCTAGGTTACTACTATGAAAATGAAAAAGCTCTGCAGTTTTTGAAAATCTGTACAGTTGCGGTGGAGCTATTGTCGAAAAACAAACAAAAAACGGTGAATTTCGTTTTTCGACATTTTTGAGGCTTCTGACCGCTTGATCGCTGAGGACAGATCTGAAATTATTTTTCGGCTCTCGAAAAAATTTGTTCATCGTTTATTTTGTATAATTTTACCTTCAGTTGTAAAGGTTCAAGCGTGACACTGACACCGTTGGCACCA